ACTTTGTGGCCTTCACCTCTACAGAATCACAAAACTTACAACACTAAAAGTAACACAAATTTACTTTAAAAAAAACTAACATCTCTATACCGTACTTTTAGGTCCACAAAAAATATGTGGTTATATAGGACAAAAAATATATACGGTATAGTTACATATAAGATTACTATGGCAGGTCTATACAACACTTTCTCATCATTGTAAAATTCCGCCTTGTTGAAACTTACGGAGGAGTCTGTGTGAGCAAGACTTTAATGATTACTACTAACAGATAACAGACTTGATAAATAGATAGCGAACTCTTTAACTGACACAGACCAAACAGACACGGCTCTATTGACTACAGGTGAAGGGTGAAGGGAATCAATAAAGGGGATATAGATAAAGTTCTTATAATATCCGAGCAGGATAGGACTCGGAGCAACGGATTCAAGTTGGATAAGTTTAGGTTTAGGAGGGAGATAGTTGGAAACTGGTTCAAAAATAGGGTGGTGGACGAGTGGAACAAGCTTAGCAACTGTGTAGTAAGTGCGGGAACACTGGAAAGTTTCAAAAGGAGGCTAGATAGATTCATGGATGATAGAGAGTGGTAGTAACTCTCGACAGGAGCTGCCATGCACAGGCCAACCGGTCTATTGCAGACTCCTTATGTTCTTATGTTCTTATGAAAGATCAAGGACATACTGACAGACAAAGATGATACTGAACACACACACACACACACACACACACACACACAATGACTGCTACACCTCACTACCATAGGAGAGAGAGAGAGAGAGAGAGAGAGAGAGAGAGATCAACACGAACACTCCAGATAACGTGACATCTTTCTTCCCTTATCTGTGCCATCGTTGTCAGTCAATTAGGTGGCGTGTGAGTGTTGAGACCCACCACCACACACCCACACACACAGAGGAGATAACAATATTCTCCCGATACAAAAATAATGTTCCGCTACCCATAATTCACAGACACTATTGTAGTTTGACCGTCAGTGTTGCTTGAGAAAGCCATGGCCCCACACAGCACAGGTTCCGGATTCAATATGACAAACAAACAAACAAACAAGCAAGCAAGCAAACAAACAAACAAACAAGCAGGCAAAAATACAAACGTACTAACACTACTAACTTACAACACAAATCCCAACATTGCTTTACTAAGACACAGAAAAACTCAAGACATTAACCTAACCTAGTCTTATTAACCTAACCCTAATTAACCTACATACTCATTAACCTAAACCTAATTAACCTACAAACTCATTAACCTAAACCTAATTAACCTACATACTCATTAAACTAACCCTAATTAACCTACATACTCATTAACCTAACCCTAATTAACCTACAATAAAATTAACCCTACATATATTAATTTTTTTGGTTAATAGTAATAAAAAAAATTCCCATACATTATACACGTCAGAATAATAATAATAAAAAAAATAAATAAATAAATAAATAAGTAAATAATTAAGTAAATAAATAAATAAGGGGGGGTGGTGTAAATTCGCTAAAACTTTCCTTCAATAAACTAACATTGCAAAGTCACTCCACAGGGAACACACACACACACACACACACACACCAACCAGATCCTGTTCTGGTTCGGGCAAAGACCTCCCCCTTCCCAGTATCGTTTTATGTAATTTATCGAACTATTAAATCTTCCCTCAACACCAAACTAACAGTGAACTATTTTTCTTTTAATTCTTCATCTATACATTTTTCACTATCATTATTATTGACTGATATAATTACTATTGATTACTATTAATAACTTTGTATTTTAAACCACGAGTTGAAAAGGGAAGGAAAAAAAATGTGCAGATTAATTCGTATTTGGGGTCGAACTAGCGATCATCAAAGCCTTAGTGACATAAAGGTTGAGCTAATAAAAGACGTTTCCGGCAATCTTCAAAGGTTAAACCACTAATACCAGTTTCACCCCCAGGTTCTCTATATAACCACAAGTGCCATCAAGACATAAAGATCACCTGAGACAAACCCACTATTGGTCATCTCTGTACTGGTGAGAAAACAAAAGCATTCAACGACTGCCATTTTTAAAGGTCAGGTACGATCACTGACCACAGCTGACTGACAACAACTGGGCCAACGTAATCAAAAATAATAACAACAGATTCGTAATACAAACTGACGCCAAGACGGAAAAATTCATAAACTTTATCAATGCACAACCACGGTACCCAATCACTGCACAACCACGGCGCCCAATCACTGCACAACCACGGTACCCAATCACTGCACAACCACGGCACCCAATCACTGCACAACCACGGCACCCAATCACTGCACAACCACGGTACCCAATCACTGCACAACCACGGCAACTGTTATATTATTAAACTGGGAATAATCTAAGTTTAATGGCAGAACTATTCTTATCTTGACTCAAAATAAAAGTGTAGAATTCAGCTAAACCCTTGGTATCTTATTTAACTACTACAGCAATAATATTACACCTATCATTATTATACAGTGTTAGACTACGTTTATTTACCAATCAGTTATGATTATGGTAATTAACCTTCAAGATATCCCCGAGAATATATTTCAACGATGACGTTTTACATCACACTGAGCGAGGCGACAATAAATTAGAAAATGTTTTAAAGGCCACAAACAACACTGACTGGGTGAAGTAGGTCACATACTGTATAATCTAACACCAAATACTGTAGTGTACTCGCATAGTAATTATACACTCGATTTCCCAAGGTGTCACACATACACACACACACACACACACATACCGTTTATAACAAGTAATATATTTCAATCCCGTTGGAACCAGTCAGTCAGGAATTTGCGGTAGTGAGCGATTCTCCAGATACTAATTTTAACAAGTCCTACAAATTTCTGTTCTTCAAATTAAATATTATATACCATAGCACATTATGAAGACTAATTACATAAACCTATTAAACCACGGGTATTATTTAAATTCAATTCTTCCATTAAAAAAAATAACAAAAGAATGTTTATGTATAAAATCTATGGGAGGAAAAAGCCGAAACAAAAGTCGAACACACTTATGTAATCGAACACTTCCACTCACACACTGCAATAACCACTATTTACTGTATATACCAGCCCAACGTTGTATAATATTTCCTTAACCATATTTATCCTGGTTTAAGATCGACTGAATATATCAAACTCCTCAACCGTTCGAGGCATATACAGTATATCTTGCTTGTCTATATATAATACTATTTATTGATAATTTAAATACCCCCCTTTAAAGAGACAACCCCCAGTATTAGTGTATTGGTGTCATTTCTGTAACTGCCCTTATTTGTATATACGTGTAAAGTAACGCTCTTTATTAATTTGAGGCTTTATGTCGTTTTGCTTTTAGTACTAAGAAGGAAAAATACGTTCCTATTTTTTTTTCAGTAAGTGTATTGACAGCTCCAGGCTTCAGACACCTCACACCACCACTACACAATATAGCACATCACGAAACCTTGTCCTCTGGCCTTGTAGGATTTCCCACCAGAGAACCAGTCACAAACTTTATTGCCAGTTGATTTACCTGCCTCACTAATCTGACCTGATCTCCTCTAAACTAACATTTGAGTTTAAAGTATGTAATGTTTCAAACACTGCGCCAAACGATCACATGTTAAGTATAATGTTTACTATAATTACAGGTATTGGCATCTGAACTACTCACTGTGGTACTTGAGGGTAAACACAGCAGTATTGTCACCTTGCCAACACAATTCCGTGGTTGGTGAACAATTTGAACAATTTTATCAATGGGTGTTGGACAGGACAACTCAGATTCAGCCCCACACAACAACACTGATCAAGTACAGTACATTATTATCTTTATCAAGGTCGACTTAATACTGTAAACCCTTGAACGGCTACTCGACTCTCTTCCCCAACTGGCTATCACTCCTCACTCATAATTACTAACAAGATTATTAAATATTTGGTTAAATAAGTATTTTATTGGGAATGAAGCTAATATACGAGTATCATGTTGATTTAAAGGGGCTTTAAAGATCGTGTGATTGATGAATAGAACTCCGTACATTTCGCCTCATAACCTGTGGTGATGGTGAGGTCGAGTTCCCTGATAAGACTTGTCCCACACGGTGTTGTTAACATAATGATGTGTGCCAGTGTGAGCAAGAATGTTCCCCTTACGGTACTTGAGCTTTACGAGTCTTCATTCATTTCTTTCTGTGACTGAGGAATCTGACGCTAAAACCATAGTGAAAATTGGACATCAGGCGATAATTCCGGGTGTGATTAGACGTAAACTGCCATCTACGAGGGGGCCAAATAGAGCATTCTCCCGCAAAAATCAATTATTGCAAACAGTGTCATAGGTTGCAGAGGCTCCCCCGTCCTGGCAGCCATCCAGCAGAAGCGCGCCACTAGTGCAACTCTTCCCGACTAGAGAAACGCCTCCATATACCTCACTAATGGCCTCAAATAATATGACAACGTTACTTACCATGACTTTGGGCGTCAGCATTGCCAACCAGGTTATTGACAATCTCCAGGAGGCTGAAAATTGCGTATAATTTCCATATGAGGGTTCCCATCTTCCTGTTCACTATCACTCCTCCGCCATACTGTTTGTTACTACTGAGCTCTGAGTCCAGCCAACATCCACAGCTCGTATAAAACTAATTTGATCACTGTTTTTATACACTTAACTCATTTAAATTATATTAAAAATAAAGAAAGATAAATTTAAAGGATATCTGCAGTGACTAATACATTCTGAAGGAAAATAAACAAATTATTATATGAGTAAATTAAAAGACTAACCAGTAATGCCATAATATACTGTTTATAAGAAAAAATACAATATATTTTCATTTAATAAAATATATTAAACCATTTTTAGATCAATATTATTATAAATATTGTGTTTTAAAGATAAAGTTTGATGTAAATAGAATGAGTGTTTGTTTTGATTGGAGGTGAGTGCGTCACTTCCGGCCGTCTCGACCAATCAGGAGGCGGCGCTCCCTGACACAGCTGGCGGAGTGTTGTGTTTACTGGCGATGAATCACCTGTCACAAGTCGTTTATATCCTACAATGAAGTTTTCTTTGTGAGTACTCGTTAAGTATTACCTGTTTAATGAGTACCTGTGGTTATTACAGGTTAGTGAGGCCAGAGTACAGTGACGTGATCACCTCCAACACCATAGTTTGGGCCACAGTTAACTATGATGGTTATGTAACTGCTCTAATTATTGCCTAGAATTTATCTGTCATTCTAATTAAAGGTTTAGCGTTATGGTCAAGCAGCTATACATTGTGTGAAGACTGAGTCAGACTCGGACTTGGTGTTTTATAAGTTTACTATTAGAATAACACACCTGTAGGAATTACAACTATAAGATTGGGTGAAACTTTATTGTGCTTGATATTAAGAGTTATTCACACAATGTTTTTGGCCCTTAAACAGCAGTAAGGATTCCCTGACTGGAACTCATGAAAATGTTTTTGTTAAGAAGTTGCCTTATGTAAGTTACTGCAGTATGAAAGCCACTGTTTATCCATGAAAACTTAACACATTTAAGAGTGGTAAATGTCTAGAATGTCCACAGATTTGATGATACTTTATTTTTATGAGAAATTTCATTAAATATTTTTGTGTTTCTTCATAAAATGTGAAACTGATGGAGAGCAAAGTGAAAATTCCTTGATTTTTTTGAAAGCAAGTGCAAGTTGGTCATGGCCTTCATGCCTTCACTGTATAACCAAACATCTTCACAGAACTATGGCAGATATTATCAGGACTGGACCACGGAGCATCATCACAATTGAGTGCATGTCGCTCAGTGGTTCATTTCCGCTAAAATAGGAAATAAGGTCAGTGGTGGATGGACGTAGAGGCCACAGCCTACTCGTATTATTCTAAGTAATTTCTTTCTTTTTTTTCTCCCCCGCCAGATTTCCTTTCCATGCAATAAGACCAATGTTTTAGAGAAAATTTCCTGGGAAACAACCTGTCTAAGCCCATGGTGTCATTGTGTATATTTACCATTGGAAATTCTCAATTTTTTGTGGTAATACTTGATGTGAGTGATCCAGCCTTAACACCAAGTTGAGGCAATTTCTCCATAGAAGGTAAAAGCTTTCTTAACTCAAGAAAATGACAATAAATGTAGGAGGAAAACACTTTATATTTTCATTTCTACTTTTCTTACGTTTTCCATCACCAGAAGGGCTGCCTCCCTGCCTTGGTTACTCCCAGTGATCAAACATTGGTTCATGTCATCGGGGTTTTTTCTTAGATACAGCTGTAGTGTATAATTGATAGTTTATAAAAGGAAGAAAACTAACCTACCAAATCTAATCTAACGAAAAATACTACAGACATTTTCTATTTCTTCGAGAATAAAAATAACCATTCCTACAGTATAAACATGGCATTATGGCAAAAGGTCATGTTTGGTGGGTGAGTGTACATCTGAGAGTGCTGGGTGAGTTCTGTCATTTGCTCATATATATTTTTCATCAACAGAGGGATGTTCAGCATTATATGGAACACCTTGTACTGGTGGATGCGTCCACTGGTCAAGTGGGTCCTCAGACGTACCACCAGACTGTGTGAGCTGCAGCGTATATGTTATGGGGAGTACAAGGGAGCCCTCAGGACCTGTGGTGTTGGTAGGTGCTGACACTCATTCTTTTAATGATTCTATCATCACTTGTTAACTAAAGTGCAGTAATTTTTTTCAACAGATCACATGTAGATTAGCCCTCACATCTAACTTTGCCTTAGGATTAACCACCCTAACATTAACCTCATCTAACCTAACATATCTTTCAGTGTTAAAATACATTTGTTTCAAGAAAATGTAAGCAGTAAAACTCCTTGAAGTAGGCACGTACATTAGACCGTGCTCAGTAAATTTTGTTTGATTATAAATATGTAAAAACCCATAGAATATATCAATTTAACCATGAATTCTCAAGGCCTTATAGTCTTACCTAACTGAAAGTGCCAAGATGTCATTTACGTGTCCATCCAGAAAATATTTTTGGGAGTGATGTGAGAAATAATTTGTACAAGATCCGGGTAGACCACAGCTCTGGGTTTACTATTAGATGACACAGCAGCCAGCACACTAGTACTTTTAATTTATATTAGTTATGGTAATTTTTTTCATTATTCTATGTGTCTTGTGTAAGTTTTGTAAGCAGATGGTCATATACAGTATGTGAATTTTTTTATATATAATCTGTAACTCAGTATATTATCATTAGTGACTGCAGCTGTAGGGGCAGCTGCCATCATCTGCGGAAGTTTCAAGCTCCTTTTGTTCTATTTTTTTCATGCCTTTAGGACCTACTTCTGCCTCATGTGATGTCAATACAACTCTATATACTTACAGAGTTCTCACTGAATCACAGCCGCACTCCAGAGATCCAGAAGTGCATCAAATATATGGACACTAAATGTCAGGATTGTACCCTGAAGCCGGCCCTTATATACTATGCTGTATTTGCTATTGTCAGGATCAAGGGGATCAACACCAAGGTTCATAAGAGGTACTGGAGGATGACTCTTTGTTTATTATTATGTGTACTGTAATTTAATTTATTTTTATTGGTAGAAGACATTTACATTTTTTTTCAACCTGTCTATATATAGCTACTGTACAGGTAAATGTCTATGGATCTTTCTGGTAATATTTCTCAAAACTGAAGGTATTTCTGTGATACTTTTAGTCATTTAACAAACTTTCAGATTTTTCTTTATGAATAACTGTGCAACAATATTTACCGGTATTAATTAAAAAATAGAATTGTATAATACCATTAAACATTCATTGATGTTTTGTAGCTATTAAATTGTGTTGACAAGTTCCCAAATATTAATAATGTACAGTGGTAAAAAGTATGTGTTGTTCATTAAGTTTGTTAATTCATTATGAAAGTCTTCACATATCTTAGTTATAATTCTTAATGGTTTAAACTACAGTAGATACTTTACTTATATAAATTTTCACTGTGATCTTTACTTACTTTTATACATTACTGTTAGATTAATCCCTATAATAAGAAACTTCACCTTCATTTTCTGAATATCTTAAGTTCTGTAAAGTCGTTTAATAAAAGCCAAGTATTTTGTCTTGGAACTATTGTTTGGCATTTAACTCTTGCTCACATGGAAAACTTGCTACTGTGAAGATTAGTGCCCCAGCTTATTGTACCTGATGATTAAACACCCAAATGTTGTCTGGGGAGGTTACCGGTACATAACTGAAAGGTTAAGGTGGATTAGGTTAGGTTAGCATTAGAGTGTTCAATAATTAATACTGTACTAATTGTTGGTTAATCTTGTTGTTTCAATTGAGTTTATTGTAGATAATTTCCACAGATTTACAGACACCTTAGGGGAGTGTTTAACACAAGTGTGGGGATACCGCCAGTTGTCTGCACAGATTGAGACCATACGAAGGGAAATGTATAACTCTACAAATCAGAGCCACGAGGAGAAGTTACTATGTCTCTGGGATGCCCTAATGCCAGAGACCCCATTAGAGGTTAGTTATGCTTTCCATTTTCCTAATAGCTTTTATTTCATTATCTGCAATATTGTTCCCTCTATTACTATGACATCTGAAGGAGGACATTTTGTAGAGAATATTGGTGGTGATTCGAGTCTTGTGGTATCTCCCCTGGGCATTGAAGTTGATTGTCTTGCATTATGAGAATTTTGTACAACATCATAGTTTGGACTTAGGCTTGTTCATCCCTTGCTTGTGGATGATGGACCTTTTATTGGGAATATATCTTTAGGATGTTACTGGATCAGCTGAGATAAATTCATGAACTTGGCAAAAGACCCAGATCACTTCTTCAAGATTCAGACGCTTCTCACAGATTATCAAGAACAACTGGGGGATCCTACACTGACCTTAGGTTAATTTAGTCGTTAAATTAGAATACAGTGAACAGAAGATTGTCAGACAGACTTTCAGGCCCAAGTCTAACAAACAATGTACTGTAAGGTAGGATATTGTTCGCTTTCTTAAGACATAGTTTAGAAGATGTGAGATATTTTTATTAATGGGCATCATAAAAATTTCTTTGGTCTTTCAGGCAAGAATAACGAAGCAGTGGCAAGTCATTGGCTTTCAGGGCGATGACCCTCAGACAGATTTCCGTGGCATGGGCCTCCTTGGTTTAGAAAACTTGCTGTGAGTACTGGAGGTTGTACCATTGGTGCCACTCATTATTATTACTGAATATATTTGGTTGCTTCTCATATACAGTAAGTCTGGGGGAGGTCTGGAGCCCCCCTTTAGCAGGGGTGCACAGACTCCATCATAATTATTACAGTCTAATCAGTGGGCACTACCATTCTTTGACTATATGGAAGTTCTGTACTAACTTTAATCTTTTCATTAATTGACATAAGTTCTGTAAAATGTAGACTACTTTGGTTGAAAAGTGGAGCATAATTTTACCCTGACCTGCTGTTAAATGATAAGTCTTCAATAGACTTGTTTTACTGTGATGTTCTTCCATAACTCTCAATCTCGTACTTCAGCCAAACTGTATTTGTCTTCAGAGTTTCTTTTTCCAACAGGTTTTTTGCCGAGCAGTATCCAACAGCTGCCCGTCATGTTTTAGCACGCTCACAGCATCCTACTTATGGGTGAGTACAGTGCAGTAGGTAGACCAGGACTGACCCTCCATATTCAGATGATGTCTTGATAAATTTCCAGTCTGTATTACTGGATGGATATTTAGATAGATAGATAGATAGGTGAGAGATACTGTATGCATGTTACCACTGTGTCACCACCACCCATGGGGTGTCTCCTGATGATGAAGGACTAAAAACAGGTCTTTTATGAATAGACTGTGTAGTGCTCTACATAACTTCTTAATAAGACACTTAAATAGTAAGTCCTCAGTATAGGGGTTCAGGTACACCTGTACAGTAAATTATGAAATATGTGTCTTTAGTTTGTGATTTATTAATATTACATAATACTCAAATCAGTACAAATTTTCCAGGTATTCCTTTGCTATCGTAGGAATCAACATCACTCACATGGCTTTCCACCTTCTTCAAAATGGTGATGCCAAGATCCACTTCTACAATGCGTCCAAGAGGTTCCCAGAAGTTCGGGCGTTCCACAACTTCTACTGTTATCTCTTCTTCACGTTTGACGAGTTGTGGCGGCAGGAGAAGCCGCGGGACATGATGGAGTTTTCTCGTGTCAGAGACAAGTTCGAGGCTCAGGTCAAATATAAACTTAAAAACCCTTTTGCATATTTCAAATGTAACTTTGTACTGGAGAATATTTAACTCAAAAAGCTGTACTTGCTGGAGTATAGCAATAGTTTTGTAAGGGATATCAGGGTTGGCACTGAAGGGTTTCACCATCACTATACAGTACAGTACTGCATAATGTGATTACTGTACACTCATTATTGCAATAGGACTATTTTGTTACCTGTTAATTTTAAGGAAATTGACAGTTAAGTGTCTATCATACAGTAGTAAGATCAAGAATTTCTTGCAGGTAAAGTTTTGATAGACAAAGGTCACTGTTCTCCAGTTAGTTTCCAGTGTGTGAGGAAGTGATAACAAAAAAAGAGATTTTTAACTATTTAAAAAGATATTAATACCATTACAGGTATCCACGCTTTTAGAAGGCATTAATGGGTGTGTTACATGCCAGGAGAGCAGATGGGTACTGTAAGATAATTTTGAAATCTTACTAGAGTACCTGGTGGTTTATTGTTGTGCAGTATTGCATAATGAACTTAATTTTCAGAACCAACAAAATCTTGTTTCTCGTTGGAAGAATGACTTCGGAAAGAGTAAAACATATATGCTGAATTTTTCTTAAATATAATCCAAGATAAGAGTTTGGTATGAATCAGTACTGTATAGTATAAATACATCATAATAAACAACAATACTCCAACATATTTTGGGAATGGCTCAAAAGTTGTTGGACCTAAAAGTAAAAATTGCTACATAATTTTAATACGTCATCAGCTCTTAACAGTTGTGATTTATCGTGTACCGAGACTTTGCGGGAGATCATTGATATGGTAAGGGTTATTATTATTCATGTAGAGTACAATTGTTTGACCAAATATATCATGCATATTCCTATTTAATGATCATGTAGTTTAAGACAACACTTGCAGTATTACAGTGATTGGAGATAGAGTTATGTAAGAAGAGGAATTAGGACCACTAACATTTACTGACAACTATAATGATTTATAACCAAATTCATTATTTAAGCATCATCTTAGGCGGCACTAGTGTCTTATATTAAGAACTTGGATTCCCTAGGTTGATTATGTACAGTACAGTACAGTGCGTATATATGAATAATTAATTATTATTTTTTTTTTTTTACATTTTTACTTGATTTGCATTTTTTCTTGAGACTTAATTGGATATTTTAAATTGTTTTGTAACCTATAGAGTCATACACTGGCCAGCACCTCACACACATACACAGTGAGGTACAGTGTTATATTCACAGGTCTCTTGGTCATTTTCTTCACCCTAAAATGAGATTTCATCCTTCAATTATCCATTAATTTTCTTCTAGGTTCTTTTAAGGTTTGAAACCTTTGTGTTATTACTTGTGTTTGTTGTGTCAAAATATAGTTTTAAAATACCAAGTATTTTTATGATCTGTAAGACATTTGTTAGTGCTAGACATCCTGTGTGGCTGTATGACCAGCTGCCCCGGTGACTGGGGGATACTCTGTGCTACCAAAGTGTGGCCACATGTGGGTGGTGACAATTATGGTATATTAGTGTTAAAAGATCCGCATAAACAGAAAGAGAAGGGAAGAAATAATATTAAACAAATGAAATATGAACAGACTAAAGGAAGGGGAAAGTCAAGGAAGCCCTCTAGGCAGCTACAAGAGTAGGATAAAATGGTTCCTGGGTTTCTGGAAGCATCCTGGCATCATACTGCAGTACAGTATAAGCTAAATACTTGAAATAAGTGAGCAGAGCTTAATGCTACATAAGTTGACTCACAACAAATATATATTGCTTCAGTGAGCTGTTCTTATAATGCTTCCATTTTTATAGAAACTTCTTGGTTGGTCTGTAAATTATCTTGAGCTGGTTTGGATAAGAGAAAAAAGTTTTATAAGGATAAAAACAGTGTATAAGGGAGGTGAAGACATCTAGAGTATAGGAAGATGGTTAGTATCCTTCAGAAGGGAAGTGGAGGAGCAAAAAATAAAAATATTTAAGTTATTAATGATATTAGGCCACATCTTAAAAATCTCTCTCGGTAACATGGTACGTTAAATTTCCATTTAGCATCTAAAGTCTGAATCACTTTATTGGTCATTACGTACATTTTCATTTGCATTCTTTGTTCATTAATATGGTAAAGATATGTTTATATATAATTGTGGCAGCTGAGAGGTGTGAAGCTGGCTGGACAGAGCAGGTATGTTCTTCCTGATGCCTCTTCACACTGGCTATATTTTTTTCTCTGATAGATTTTCCAGTGATAAATTGTAACAGTTGTATATTGTATATTAGATGACAACAGGTACTGTACTTTGTCTGAATTTGGTGCCTGTATAGAGTATTTCAAACTCTCAGCTGTGAGACTCATAAAGAAAATTTTAAATTTTTTCACCTTGAAAGACACTATTATTGTACCACATAAAAAGCACTTGTGTGTTTAATCCTAATTCACATTTAAAAAGTATATGATAATGGATTTTTTATGTAATTTGGGTGGAAAATGTGAAAGGAAACATATTGGTAAATGTAACATTGTTTGATTTTCAAGTAAGGTTGTTGTGAATTGTGCCATTTTGTAAGGTGTTGATTCACAAAAGCCTTTACCTGCTCTAGTGTATGATGGCTGAGCAGGTGATGGTCTCCTGGTGGTTAGTATTCAGTAACTAAGTTACACGTACTCCACCCATGATGGTCCACTGAAGGGTTCCACCAGTGACAAATGCACCAGATAGTGTTCTTATTTATTGTGGAGTGAACAAGGAGAGAACCCAACTCTCCAATTTGGTCTGGAGTAGATGACCATTCTCTTGTGGGATAAATGCTCTTGTCAACTGAGCTACAGAGCCAGTATAGTCTAGATATATTTCTTATTTTTAGCTTTATATATTTTTTCTTCACTTTTAAGTGCCATACAGGGTCCTCAGAAGTATAAAATGAAAGATCAGCGCTGTGATCTATAGTTATGAGTAGAGAATAATCCTCCATACAAATAAGGTATTTAATATCAGGTTTAACCACTTGTGTATGGGATCCCCTCTCTGCTGAATAAAGTTACCTTGCGTAGTGAAGGGGTTAACAACAATCTACACGTTTACATGAAATTAACCATGATAGTGATACTGTATATGGTAAACTGACATGCACATGGTATTGAGAACCTTGCCCAGTGTATTCTCACTCACTAGTAAGGTTGTATTATGTAAACTAATCTTGTATTGACTTTTAAGAGATCACTGTTTTTATCATAAGTATCCTAAGCTTAATTTTTTGTGTTAAACATAAGAAAATGAAGCAATTAGAGGGTTATGTCTGGGATTCATTGTTTGCTAAGTTATGTTTTTGGGATCCTCTGTGTGTGTTAAGAAGACATTTATAGTCCATCACCTGGCTTAAAAATCAGTGGTATGCCAGCCCTGAACTGAAACGTGTACAAAAATTCAGGTACGATACTTTAATATGATACGAACTCTCCCGAGTGTGTCTAAATTTCTTGTGCAAATTCTAAGGTTCAACGTTGGCACGAAACTGTTTCTTAACCCCCCCCCACACACACAGGTAATGAAAAAAAGTATTGTACCACCACTGAACCTCTGACATGATCCCTAAAAAAAATTCTCATGTACCTCACTTTGCACACGCTATTGGTAATCTAATCATGTTTGCACAAATTGCGGTGTATGTAAGATTGGGCTTTTTTTCAATAATCACATTGTCTTTCCCTGGCAAATATAATAAAGATATTTCACATAGAGATTGCCATAATTATGTACTTGGTCTTCTCTGTACAGTCTCTCGCCGTAGATACATCGAGCTTGTAGCACTTATTGAAAACTTTATGATGATCTAGATGTTATACACAGTCCAGGTATATTGTGGAAAGTTTAGCTTAGGTTTTAAAGGGGAAGACTTGTGGAGGAAGAGCAGGTAAAGATGGTTGTGTTATATTAAGAAACTGTAGATATGACAAGAAAAAGATTAGTAGTCATTTCTTACAACCTCAAATGTTGTTAAGAGATAAGTGTATTTTATTGTCTTATATCATTCAGAAAACTCTTATTATGAACATGGGTACAGTACAGTCATCCCAGTTTTGTGATACCAGTCCCCTCCATTATGCTAAGAAGTGTTTGGAATTGTTAAAATATGGGAGTTTTTTCCTAACAGGTCAGTCCAAAAGTAACTATTTTATACCATTCCTATACAATACTAACAGCTACATTGTTTGTGGCCCTGAAATGTAAGAGATTTTGTTAGTTCATACAATATTTTTATTTTCATTCATTCTATGCATTGGTTTATTAATTGTAATTGGTATAGTATGGCACAATGCATATACAATATAAGGTGTTCCAGGCAAGAAGGAGACAGGTGACAAAATGCAGTTCAAGTTTCGAGGGACATTCGAAGGTTATAAGTAATGGTGCAGTAAACACATCTCAAGGCATTGTATCACTTGTCTTGATCTTGCCTGGAGTGACTCATACGGAAGCGATCCTGTTACCTTGTGTCTGAAAAATAATTCCAAAGTCTCATACCCAGTAATCCATCGACAGGGAAACAGGTGATTTAACTTCTCTGTCGTTGGAAATGTTTTCTTTAATTGTAATCTCTTTAGTATTTAATTTGCATGAATGCCTAAATAATCAATTAGATATTGTATTTTTTAATTATTTTTATGCTCAAGAATGTTCTTATTTATGAAGATTTCCGTATTACAGTATTTTTTCCTTATAGATCTTAAGTGTTGGGATTTGGATAAAATGGAGTCTCCTAGTCCAGATTTTGCACACATTGTGTTATATAAGACGCAACATGAGTCTGTGTTGTCAACGCTCGCTGCTACTCGCTACTCTCTTATGACTACAGTACTAATACCCCCCAAGGAATCATATTATACAACTATTACTGTATGTGTTGTTTTACCAACATATTCTTATTTATTCATTTTTTGCTTCTATTCATAATTATTGTTCTTAGTTACCAAACTTAATTGTTTTCCATAACAACCAAATTTAATTATACTTCATGGTAAACAAACATAATTATTCTCCATAATCAAATATAATTATTCCCCATAGCAACCAGGTATAATTATTCTCCATAGCAACCAAACAATTATACTCAATAGCAACCATCCTCAGATCCACAACAAGTTCATATTATGTAAAATATTTCTGTGCCTGACTGAAGGATGAATTACTCCCTCAATACATATGGTCAACTTTGTTTGGGTTATGTTGTACGTCATACAGAGGCGACCATGTTCTTTCAGGTTCTATTTATTTGTAAATAAACGGGTTCAATACTCCAATTGTCCTCGTGAACAATGACTATTTTGTTATTATCCACATTTAAATTTTGTATTAGATTCCAGTGTTTTAGTTTGTGTGATAATCTCTCTTAATCATATATGTACTGAGTTCATAAATCAGGAACATTCATCTGATTGGTTAAGATTAAACACTAAAGCTTGTCTTGTGACTGATGTTGACAACCCTTCATGTGCCCTAGCAGTTCTGTTGTTGTATTTAAGTAATTTATATATACTGCTTTAATATTTTCATCACTTATCAGCTTATTAGACAGTCTGTACTGCCTTCATTGTCCAGTGTTAGTACTGGAGAAAACCTGCCATGTTTGGTAGTGTCACACTTTATAATACCCTTCTCATATCTATACTAGGGACTTGAAACCATGACAGCAATAGTGAGAGGTAAACATTGTACCATCAATGCTTGATATTAATTAGTGTGATTCATATTTGCTTCTACAATATTTCTGATCTGCATTTTCATGAAGTTATTTTCTGGGACATGTTTTGCATTCTTGTCTCCCTTTCCATTTTATTTAAAGTATTCTAGGAAGTGGAGTAAGACTAATGAAGGAAGGGAGTGTAGGTTACTAATGAATTTACAAGGTACAGTATAATTAATCCTTAAGGACTATGTATCATATGGAAGATACATTGAATACTGTACAACATTTAATCGTGATCCTCAAATAACAAAGCAATTATAGTATATCATGTAAAGAAGTCAAATTTAGATCTCATGAAGGTTAGGGGCCCCAGTTATTGCATCTGATGATTAAACATCCTCATGCCAATTGGACACTATATGAGATTAAGTGATAATAGGTTGGATTTAGTTAGTTAAATTAGGTGTGATTAGGTTAACGGGAGTTTGTTTAATGACGTGAAATAGGCAGAGGTTCCTAGTCTTCATGAGATCTTAAAATTAAATCAATTACACATACATTCTAAGACTATCTCCCAAACCCATTGTTACACACCAACACCAAACACCTAAAGAAAGTGGATGTACTTTAGAAAACAAGTGAAAGTTGTGAGTGAGAAAACAATTGACCACAACCCCTTGTGTAAAGGCTTCCCTCTGAGCCGAAGAAAATCATCTGTCGTTACGAAATAAAATGTCAGAAGTGGCATTCCTATGGTGAAGGGGTTAGTTAACATAGTCTATTTAGCCCCTAGTGTTTCGGTTCCTCTCTCAGCTGAAGAAAATCATCTGTCGGTAACCAAATATACATCACAATTGGTGAAGGGGTTAACACTGAGCATAATCATTTGGCTCGAGGTACACCAGGTACGTGCCGTCATCACAGGAGGTGTACGGGTCGATGAAGCTCAAGATGGTGAAGTTCCTGATGATCCAAGCAATGTCACATTTACAGATGAGAGGATTATCTGCCATGGGAAAAGAAGGAATTACCTAGAGAAGACTATTATCTTAGGAAGAAGAGAGATATAAAAATGGTAAGGGTGTACACATACACAGTACTGTATATACAGTACTGAGGTGTTGCAACATGGGGAGAAATGTTTCCTGGGGAATATTAGTGTATATGGGGAGGAATGTTTACTGGAGAATTTTAGTGTATTTAGGGAGGAGTGGATGAACAGTACTCACTTGAAGCATCCAGTTTAATAGCTTGGTCCAGAAGCGGATGCCACACCTTCTCTTTCAACTCCCTCAGTCTGTTGCTGCTAACGTCTATGAAACCGTAAGTTATACCTGTTGAAATAAACAATCCTAACTGTAATGATAAACATGGGAGTTAAACCACAATACAAGTCCTCATTCATGGTTACAGTACAATGGAAGAGGATGAATTAATGTCACTAATTTGAGGATAAAAAACAATATCAGTGAATAAAGTTACATGGTTCTCTTAAGTAATGTACACAATTATATATAGTACAGTACTCTCATGATGAAGTTTTTACCTGTGATGAAATTAGGAGCAATGGAGGAGATATTGTTGTTGGCTAAGTAGATCCAGGACTGTGAGGAGGTTTCCAGGACGCCTTCCACCAGTTCATGCACCTCGTTGGCCCATAAGTCCACCTCAGATAACATTGGCAGACCAGTGAAAGTTCCTGAAGGAGAGCACAGGTAAGTCAGGTGCACTGGTGGTATGACACAGGTAAGACAAGTGTGTTAATTAGAGGCACAACACAGGTAAGACAAGTGTGTTAATTAGAGGCACAACACAGGTAAGACAAGTGTGTTAATTAGAGGTACAACACGGGTAAGACAAGTGTGTTAATTAGAGGCACAACACAGGTAAGACAAGTGTGTTAATTAGAGGCACAACACAGTTAAGATAAGTCTGGGAGATTACACAGGCTGTATCTTAGTTATATGAGTACAGTTACTTAGGTTTTGTGATATTGGTTTTCAAAACAAGATTTTCACTATTTTCTTCACATTATTTGTAATGAGGAATATATTTTTATGACAAGTAATTTTTAGAATATTTTTTTTTTACTGTACAGTGTCTTAGACATACCTGCAGGTACTTCCTTGATCCCCGTCTTTCTCAGGTTGATATAAGAGAGAGCAGGTGTGTTGATGAAGGCGTCTCCAGGCAGTTCACCGAGGGGGTTGAAGGAGAGATACAGCGTAGTTAGAGTTGCCGACGATAACACTGGGAAACCCTGCAGGCTGTTCATCTGTAGGTCTAGGTACTCGAGCCTAGTGAGTGACGGGAGGGTGTGGTAGGGGAAAGATTTGAGGTTATTGTTGAAGAAGTCAAGGTGGGTTACCGTAGAGGTGCTGGCAGACAGGGCTCCTTCCTCAACCTTCTCCAGGGCACCATTATACATTCTGATGTGCTGGAAAGTGGTGTTCCCCAGGGCGCCCTCCCTCAGAACCTTCAGGTGATGGTTGGCCTCGATGTGAAGGGTAAAGAACCCAGTTTCTGTGAATTTTTGGCTGAAAACTTTCGCCAGTTCCTCTTCGCTGGCTATAGCCGAACAGTTCATCTCAGTGAGGGTTTTATCGATCACGGTACACACGCAGGGTGTGATGAGCCCTGCGTCGGGGCAGGTCGAGGCCCACATGTCCTCTGCTTTTACACCCTCAGTGAGAACCCCAACTAAGGCAAAGGTCAAGAGAGACAACATAATCATCGCCATGTTGGTGGAGGTGGACAGTGCTAATAGTTTGTTGAGTGATGCAGGTTACAATGCTATTAGTAGGTATAACAAGCGGTCAGGTGGGCACAGGGTTGCTAGTCTCACGTCAACCACGGAACGGACTGTCACAAAGTCGTACTTGTACTCCGAATTTTGAGGCCGGAAAAACGACCACCTGTTACAGGACGTTGATAGATGATAATGATGCCAGATATCATCCTGAGAACTGTCAGCTGGCAGTGTGTGCGTGTGTGTAAAAGACAACATTATATTCAATACATATTTCTTATCTTACCTCACCTATTTAATGGCCACCCAAACTAGAGGTGGCCATGCCGAGAGGAGGGAGTCAGTGGCCAGTGTCGAATCCATCCATTGTTCTTGATTGAATGTCTAGAGCTAATTTTTTAATCCTTTTCGCCACTTATCAGCTTACTAGCCGTTTGGGCAGGAGGAAACCGGAGACCAGGAAGCCTGCGTGAAGTTTGGTAGGGTCACACTGGATAACACCTTTCTCAGTTACACAGCTTAAGCTTGGTAGACTGTACAATGCCTATACAGTATGCACAGGTTTACCCACATAGCACTTAAATTCCACAATGATAACTACTGGCAAGCTAAAAAAAATTCATGTAAACTTATCGAAGTTTTTGCATTGCAGTTATTGTTATTTGTGTATCAATACCTGGCTGACATACAACTCACCTACTAATATTTTTTTATAATTATCTATTCATCATAGTAAAATAATGAATAATGCAGTAGTTATTTCTCCCATTAGGCGTAACATCTCGTGCTTCTTTACATTGTCGTGTGGATGGAGGCACCTGGGAAGCACCAATGGCCAGAATAGAAGGTAAAGTTTGTTTAGGTTACAGTACATTATTTTTCATCATATTCTATAATTTCTCTTGCCTCGGTAGTCATTTGTTTATATTTCACTGTAGATTATACTTATTGTACCAAATTTTATCCCTCATTTTAGTCATTTACTTTTTAGGTTTTCGTCGTCATTCGTCAGTTGTTTGTACACACGGCGCCACACGGTCATGGCAGCTCGTCTCCTCCTCGAAATCGAAGTTTAAGAATAGATCTGTGCATTGTTGCCAGGTAAGACCTCCTGAAATATAATTTGTACATATCTGGTGAGTTAATGAGGGCATAAACTGTCCGTATCAGCGCTGGTATATATTTTTACCCAAGTAAATAGTTGAATTTACAACTTCACTAGCTGCTGTTTACTCAAGCTGCAGGATTTATCAGTAGCTTTAACCTATCATTTTGTTTTATTCATATCATTGGAAACTGCTTTATAAAGCCAAAATGTTGATGCTTACTCTGGACTTCTTTGAATCACAACAAATCCTCGCCTCGTTTTATAATGTGTATACAGTACCTTAATTGTGAATTGAGGACATCAAAAAGACAAATTAAAATACTGCATTTATTTCACTAACAAAACAAAAAAATAAATATTTCTTAATAAATACAACATATAACAGGAACACAAGAACTGCCTGCAGCTCTTGTCTCCAGCCAAGGAGGTCATGTCAGCCAAGGAAGTCACGTCAGCTGAGGATGTCACGTCAACGGAGGATGCCAAGTCAGCCGAAGCCGTCACACCAGCCGAGGAGGTCAGTTCACGTCTTTCTCATTTTGAGGGTGAGGTACAGTCGTCCACTAGCCAAGCATCAAAGATCAGATTCTCAATGATTATACGCCATTATCCCCCTCTTGTGTGTACGGTATATTACGGTAACTTCAGTACAGCAATGTCGAGACCACTTTCGTCATCAGTAAACCACTTCCAAATGAGAGAATCAGATGACTTTACACATATAATTTGGGGATAATATTAACGTCATAACCTTTGAAAAAAAAATCCAAACTTGTGTCATAAATCATTAGTTGGTTCAGTTTAGTTTTGTCTTTGGAAACATTATTGAGTCAGGTCCATGTTAGATACAGGTAATTAATTCAGGTACAGTCATCACTTGGTCAGGTAAGATGTGAGAATGAGTCAGTTAGTCAATCGGGTAAGTTGATCTTGTGATGTGGTTTTCGGCCAGTTAGTGGAAATCTAGTTAGTCGTTGGTATTGTGGTTCGGTAAAACAGTTCAGATGACAGCTATGAGTTATGTTAAATTCCTCGTAAACTGTTAGATATGTAATTCATGGAATCTAACATAATCGTCAAGTACAACGATGATTAAAAACTTAAAAAGCCTGGTACTGTATCATGTCCCGGGAAGGTTATGGTGAGGTTAGTCATTTATTCTTCCGTGGTCAGGTTTTTTCCGTCATTATCACTAACAGCAGTAATGTCATCGCCACACTGTAAGGTCGATGGTCTTGTGTCTGACGTCTTTAAGTTTGGTCATTGTCTGTTTATTTCATCCATTATGTCTGTCTGCCATTGTAGTCCATGTGGATTTCCCTTTGCGGGCGGCCCAAGTTAATAATGGCAATACTTCTTCACCACGAAGAAATTGCCAATTATCACTGAGTGTCTTTTAAGTCTAAACTACTTGGATTATTCTCAATAAACATTCAGTAATTATTTTAGTCCTATGTATGGTTTTGTCAGTGGTGATTGGTTGTGTAGAACGTCTCTATGGGCACGGAGCGATAGACTGTCGCTATTGGTATGAGGTCGTCTTTAATAGTCAGTTATATATTTTTGAGAAAGAAAAAAAACTGGAGTCTGTATTGTTAAGTAGTTGGTAACTGTACTGTGCTTAAGGTTACTTGGTAAATCGGCTTAGTAGTTAATATGTCTTAGTTGATGTGAGCGTTAGCCAACACATGTCACGTGTCTTTATACAGTCCAAACGATATCCTAAAGTACTATAATGTCAGGTTTATACTCAAGGAGATAATATTGTTAAGTCAGAACTATATATCAAAGGTTTAAACATTATTAGTATTGTCTTTGGGTAAAAATTGTCTGGGATTTGTCTGTAGAATTAATTGATATAAGTGAAGAATTATTTGTAAGTTAAAGATTGGGATTATACTGTGTTGAAGGTGGAAACACTGTCAGTATTGTATGTTAAGTCAAAACTCTATATTACGATCAAAATTGTTGTAATGATTGTAAGGTCAGAAAATGTCAGAGGCGTTATTGTAAAATTAAAGCATATTGAGAATTTTGTCTGTTACGCCAAAGCAGCATCTTTTGATTACTGTGTATAGTTAGCAATAAACTAAAACAATTTGTGACAGCAGAATGTTAACAACGATTTGTCTTGTGTTAGGTTAAACGTTGTGACATGTTTACTGTCTGGGTCAAACTGCTTGTCACTGTATGCCATAGGCTGATTCTTATGCAGTGTAAAGGGTCAGAAATGTTTGTCTGTTAAATCCTGGAGTATCGAAGTCAGTGAAGAATAGAGGCGACGCCTCATTCTTGTCGGTTTAGTATACACGAAATAACGAAAAATAAGGAATAACCTATGTAAATGGTTAGTTATAATTATATTGTGAACATTACTTAAAATTAGGAAGTGAGTCTTTGGTCCGCAGTCTGTATAATAAAGTTTCTTGTGCGGTCTTTGTCGTTAAAGGAAGACTAGCGAGAAGTTGGAGGGACTAGAAGATGACGCCAACATTATTTCTGCGCTAACTCAGCGTCCGTCTAGGTGAACTGTATCCAGGAGAGCTAACTTGATTATTAACGAGTCTGTCTAAAATAACAGCACCCAGATATGCTGATGATACGTTATTGTAAAGAACAGTTACAGATTCACTGTCATGAAAACACGTTAACCAGAGGTGTTTTGATAATTCAAAAGTTAATTTGGTTATTTTCCTATGGTTAACTATATGAAAAGTTATGAGCAAATTAGATACATTAGGTCAAGTTAGCTCAACCGGAAGTATGTGTCATATACACAGAGAGTCCTGGGTTAAAATTAAGTCTTTGGCGGCGCGTCTACCCGTAGGTGGTGGTCAAGTGGTCGTGCGGGCGGGCGGAGGTCAAGTACGAGGGCTGCCAGGGACAACTGTCACAAACGTTTACACTCTTAAAGCACTGGGTTATATCTTCTTTCAACCATTACTACAATAGCTACAGCCGGGTTATATTTACTTATTTGCGGTAATGCAAGTGAATAGTTTACAGAGTGAATTTAGTGAAATTTTCTTTTTCTTTGAAGGCTATTTTCCTCCCTGGAGACGCGGTACTGGGCCCTCGCCTCACCCTGCGTTCATTGTCCTTGAGCAACCTTAAAAATGTAAACCAAGTTAAGGAAGAAGAGCCTGAGTTTCAATACGCTGAGGTCCAGCCTCAAAAAAAGTCGAAGAAAGTGTCATATAAAAATAAATATTCTATCTACAGTTAACGTATAAATCTAGTGGGTGAGCTACACGAGCAGAGCGTCTGTCGTGAAGAGGCTTTAACAACATACAGTAACTAGTCTATTAACGTCTCAAGGAGTTACACACGTTCATATCTGAACTTTAATGATTTATATGAGAACAAAATATAGGGTATGTCAAAAAATGTAACTTCCATACATGTTTTCGTGGAGATCGCGGGACTACTTGCATCACATCAACAAGGGAGGACTGTGTTGGTGGTGTACAATATAAGCGTTCACGCCATCTTGACAACCTGTAAGGCAAGGTGTGTATACATTTCTCTAACACAGCCAATATTTAGTTACTTATTACATATTGTAACTTGATACGTAATGTAAATAAGAAATGAACGTGTGCTTGAAGAAGGAAACGCTAAATAAATAATGTAGTGTTGGAGGGAGCTGGTCAGTGGTACAGTATCACAGTCGTAAGAGTCTAGCCGGGATTCTCAAACACAACTTGAGGTTCTCTAGCGATCATCTGCTCTATTATTGAGCGACGTATAGTTTCATGCAAGCTTGAGCGTGATGTTACGGTACTCAAGTGTTGTTTAAGAATGCCTGGCGCGTATGGCACAGTTAGAAATAGGTCAGAGGTCTCCAGGTCGGTCCGGATGTTCGGTCTTGTGGTCACTAAACATTTCGGTTACCTGTTCATTATGGAAGTTAAGAACGGAGCCCATCTAGAGTAGGACAAGTCATTTTTTTTTTACTCCTGATTAGAGATAAATATGGGAGAAGTTTCTACTAATACTCTGGTAATGGGAGGGGTGAGTGGCACGCGGCGTCCCCACAACCTATAGCCCTGTCAGCTGATGTGCCATGATAAACACGACTAATTTCGTTATACACGCATTTGCTTTCTTCTGTTTTTATCGTCTGGAGGAAGTGACTCTCCCGCCACCGTGGCTGTGTACGCGTGCAACACAACCATAGTCAGTAAGGTGGAATGTTCACAACAAAACAAGCAATGTTTACACGGGAGAGTCAGCTGAGGAAGGACAGTTGTTGTTAACCAAGACCCAGGCGGGCGACAACAACGGTATGTTATCATTCTTTAGCCGTCTCTGTGGTCTCCGTCTCGGGGCTGGTTACTGCCTCAGAGATACGGTTAGTGTCGGTGGGTGGCTGATGCGACGCCAGAGGGGGAGGTCTTTGATCTGGCGTGGCGGAACAGCGTAACATGCTGCAGCTGCCGGCGCGGGACGTCCTAAACAGTCGAGCCAAACCTGCTTTGCGCGCCACGAAGTCTGGGGTCCTGGAAACACAAGATATGACTCAGACTAAGGAAGTAAACACTGAATATGAGGATAGTTATGCCCCGTCACGGGTGTGGACCAGGCATATAATCTCTTTCCTGCAAGCTGACGTATCTTAGACGTTATTCAGACCTTATTGGCCAAATAACCACCAAAATACATTACTACAGTATCTTGATGAGTAACACAACATTACGTCAAAAAGTTACTTCTGTGTACACAAGAGGATCAACTTACAGTGTAGCGAGGTAGTAGAATGTCTTCTGGAGGAAGGAGGCGTCCTCGTGCTCCCCCAGGAGGGACAGCTCACAGAACAGTTTCTCCTGACACTGGCGGGAGGTGAGGGAGAGGAAGTTGTTCTCCACCAGGGTGTTCAACAACGGCAGCTCAGACGGGTCGAACTGATCCTGCAGGAGGTTGGTGTCGTCCAGGCTCCGTCTGTCACATATAGTCACACCTTAACATTCACTTCCTCAAGTCTTATTTGGCAACGGCTTAAAGTTCTCTGCTCCTGTATACTCTACTGTATATATCGTCATCGTTACACACATATAATTTAAATAAATAAAGTTATATTTTGTAATAAGCTGCCAGCCTGGATGTAAAGACCGTAAATATGAAACCAGGATGAGGACCTGTAGGGCTTACTGACCTCCTGACGGCGAGGGTGAAGAGCCCAGTGGGGAGGGCGGAGAGGAGGAGGCCGACGGGGATGACGGTAACAGCCACGTTGTACATCATGTCCGTGAACGACCATTCATCATCGTCGAAGCTGAAAAAAACGATTATTATTATACATCTGGCTGTATAGGAAGACCTCTGGATAACACCCTTCTCACATCTGTACCTGGCCGGGGACTGAACCCAGGACACAATATTGAGAGGTGTGCACGTTATCGCTGTACCAAAACCCTGTGTGTCTATCCCATGGCTAGTCGTTGTACCTCTGACTCTCTCTGCTACTTTTGACCTTGAGTCGTGACCTTAACCTGACCTCAACTATAATTGCATGACAGACTGTTAGAGCTACGGGTGTGTGTCACTTTCACTGAGATTGGTGAAAAGTTTGAGAGATTTCCTCGTGAAATTGAACCGTACTGTACATATATTGGTTTCTAAATTTCACCTATAATTAAGTGCAGCTGCCATCACCTATAATTGACACGATATTCCAGCCGTGTGTAACTGTGTGTGTGTGTGTGTGTGTGTGCACCTACCCTCGTGATTGCAATTTCACAAACTGTTAAACCCGATATCAACAGCTACCTAACACGCCTGAGAGAGGGAGAAGTGCCTGCTGGGGTAGGTGGGTGGGCGGGGTGTAGCAGGTATAGCTATTGGTTCATAAGTGTAACGTGAGGGAGATGGATGGGCGGAACCTTTCTATAGTCATGATCGCAGGGCGTGAGTTGGGTGTTGTTTCCCGCACTCTTATATCTATATACAGGTATATAACGGTGTGTGTGTGTGTGTGTGTGTGTGTGTGTGTGTGTGTGTGATTCACCACCAGCCATCACGCCCACAACTCACCTGTCATCACGGGCAGGATGTTGGAAGTATTGTGGGCGGTGGACGACCTGCACGGGCGCATAGCTACTGTAGGAGGATTGTTGACCTCCTGCCGACGGCGACTCGTAGCCCACCAAGGGTAGCCCGTATCCCGCCTGTGCAGAAGCGCTCGGGGCGTAGTAATAGACGGACTGGTAGTCGTAGTCCTCGTAGTCGTCATAGTCGTAGCCCATCCATTCCATGATTGACTTACCCCAGTCAGAGAAGGTGCGACCTGTGGTGGTGGGCGAGAGGTAAGGTGAGGTTGGCTATAATAGGGGTCAAAGGTTCGAGTTAGATCAGGTAAATTGGTTGGTGTTATTGGGTTGGGTTAGGTTAGGTTAATAGGAATGTTCCTATTATTACAACTTCAATAGGCTGCTACTCTACCATCATAACATTACTAACGCTAGGGGTTCCTAATCAACAGGTGAAATAAGTTGGGGGTTCCTAATCATCAGGTGAAATAAGCTGGGGGTTCCTAATCATCAGGTGAAATAAGCTGGGGGTTCCTAATCATCAGGTGAAATAAGCTGGGGGGTCCTAATCATCAGGTGAAATAAGCTGGGGGTTCCTAATCAACAGGTGAAATAAGCTGGGGGTTCCTAATCATCAGGTGAAGTAAGCTGGGGGTTCCTAATCAACAGGTGATATAAGCTGGGGGTTCCTAATCAACAGGTGATATAAGCTGGGGGTTCCTAATCAACAGGTGACATAAACATACCTGTGATTCCGTCAATTAAGGGTTTAATTTGTGACTTAGGACTCTCAGGTAAGACGTCCACCACATCTACGTCTATTGTGTCGACGACCGCAGCCCCCTGGCACAAGACGGCTCCCACCACCGCTATCACAACCACTCGTAACTCCTGCATCTGAAGGGGGAAAGAGGAACGACACTCGTTTTACACACCTTCTGCAGGAGGAGGAGTATAGTTATCTCATCTCCTCCCAGTAGTTCCTCTCCACACAAGCCAATTCATCTTCAAACAGTACCACCAATTTTTAGATCAATTATCCTCTAGAGTCATGTGATTAGCGTTGTACGAGGTAGTGAAGCTTTAGATTAGGGTCTTGTGATATATAAACAAATAATATATTAAATATACCCTTAAATTAGCCTACAATATGTGGCTGGTGTTTTATTATACTAATATAAGGAAAACTTCTAGGGATGTACGGTCAGATTGCAAAGACAAGGACTAGCTATTGTTATTGGTGATTCAAGTTATCGTACTCAAGTTATTTAAGTTATCGTAATTTATTCTTAAAGTTATCCTAGTAAATTATTCACTTTATTATAATTTATCATGTGGACTTAAAATTATCGTACATAGTGAACTATTGTTGTACGTAGGTGAATCGTACTCAGTCATAGGTGAATCGTTATCGTACTCAATCATAGGTGAATCGTTATCGTACTCAATCATTAGTTATATCCCGTAAGTGATTGTTGTACATGATATATAAAGCTTTACAGGAATATATATTTGTTTATATGTCCCCATCGGTCGTTTACACCACCAAGACTGTAGACTGCATGAGGAGACTTCAACATTGGGGCAGACTATGATCCATGAGCCACAGCGCCTCCTCTCGCTTTCACTGAGCCTCCAGTTATCGGTGAAATATATATAAATTACGATAAATATTTCGACGTATTGATGAGATAGATTCTTATTCTTTATGTCGGAAAAGATGAATTGATTTTATGTGGATGCTAAAACGGTATTGTGTTGTAATGTCCTTTTGAATACAGTTAAAATATCAGCACTGGCGCCTCTCCCAACTTACTCTGAGACACTTAAAAATGTTTCTAACTGGTCGTCTGTTTCACTGGTCTTGTGAGCACTTAACACGACAGGATTATATTCACTAGTGACGACAAGACTCTGGACCGCAGCTCTTTAATACTTCCTCACGCTCGATGCCGGGCCCCCTACCTACAGCCACTACGCTCGGTGCGGGTTCCTGCCACCTCGCTCTTACAAAAACAATCACTTGATGGTCCAGGAAGAGCATGTGCAATATGTGTGTCAACAACCCGACCGTAACAAGTGAAAAATGAAAGAAAAATCAATCTAGGTAAATAAACGAACAGAAAGATGATTAATGTAACGTAGAGATTAAAACAACTCGAATGTTAAACACTGTAAATACTAGAGAGGTGTTATTCGTTCACCACACAAGGGTCACCTGCGCAGGCCGGCGACGTGGTGGTGATCGAGGGCACCGGGTCACTGTGCCTAGGAGAGGGAGGTGTTGTGGCTATTTCATGAACCTGGACAAGTTTTTATAAGCGTTAGTCTCACTTTTTTCCTTTTTCTTGTGTACCTCGGTCAGAACCACCATTCTTAGGTATGCGTGATGGCCCTAGTTGCCTACGAGAGATAAACCAAAGATTGTAAAGTGTTCCTATTGTAATTTTTTCCCTCACGCAAATTGGTTCCCAGTAAATTGGTAATGTAATAACGAATATAATTGGGTTTATTCCTTTCACACACACGAGTCATGATAGCCTAAGAATTCCACTGTGGTTTTAACGGTTAGGAAATGAGTCGCTTTTGTAACCCAAGTCAAGAGAGAGAAAGAGAGAGAGAGAGGGAGACTAGGAATTTATGAAGGTCCAGTTATCAGGAGAGTTTTTGCTCATCGACCGACTTTTAAGTTTTGGTTTATATTTTTGTATAGCTGAACAAAACCTGGGTGTGTGTGTGTGTGTGTGTGTGTGTGTGTGTGTGTGTGTGTGTGTGTGTGTGGTATCAGCTGGACAGCCACCCGCCCAGGAAAGTTGGCAACCTCTGTACACATTAGTACCATGTGTGAAGAAGACATAAACATTATAGTGTTGATACAGCCTCCCACACACACACACCACACACACACACACACACACACACACACACACACACACACACACACACACACACACACACACACACACACACACACACACACACACACACACACACACACACACACACACACACACACACGGTGACCTTCAGCAGGAGGTCACCGTGGACTACTTAAACCTGTGGACCAAGTTACAGGTAAATCATTCATTAGATGTTGCTGCCTCAGATGTGTGTGTGTGTGTGTGTGTGTGTGTGTGTGTGTGTGTGTGTGTGTGTGTGTGTGTGTGTGTGTTGTTGTTGTGTTTGTGTTGTGTGTGTGTGTGTGTGTGTGTGTGTGTGTGACCATGTAAGGTGGGATTAAATTTTTATGGTGTAGGGGAGAGAGAGAGAGAGAGAGAGAGAGAGAGAGAGAGAGAGAGCACATTACAATAGAAAGTAGTGTTAACATCCTGCCCTCCTCCCCCTCCCTCTCCAAGCACAAGAATAAACAGCTATCATTTATTTCTGGTAACATCAAAGTCTTATCTTAAACCTCAAATATTTCTTCTTTTTTTTTTTTTTGCTTTAGTTCTTATTCGACTATCAGAAAAGCAGGAAAATTCTTGACCCCGGCATTGTGGAGTAACGTACAGTAAAGGTTTGGCAGCTGTGTATATGTTGCTCGTTGCCAGATGTATGTTGTCTTGATCGTATCGTATTATCTTATTTTATCTGGAATCTGACTTAATTCTTTTCTTTTCTTGTTATTATTTTCTATCTCATTTTTTATATCTGTTACGCCTATATACATTTTCTGTGTTATTGGGTTATTGTTGTTGTTGTGGGTATTGTTGTGAGGGAAGGTTGTGGGTAGTGTTGTGAGGGAAGGTTGGGTATTGTTGTGAGGGAAGGTTGGGGTAGTGTTGTGAGGAAGGTTGTGGGTAGTGTTGTGAGGGAAGGTTGTGGGTAGTGTTGTGAGGGAAGGTTGGGGTATTGTTGTGAGGGAAGGTTGTGGGTATTGTTGTGAGGAAGGTTGTGGGTAGTGTTGTGAGGGAAGGTTGGGTAGTGTTGTGAGGGAAGGTTGTGGGTATTGTTGTGAGGGAAGGTTGTGGGTAGTGTTGTGAGGGAAGGTTGGGGTAGTGTTGTGAGGGAAGGTTGTGGGTAGTGTTGTGAGGGGAGGTAGTGTTGGGAGGAAGGTTGTGGGTGTGTTGTGAGGGAAGGTTGTGGGTAGTGTTGTGAGGAAGGTTGTGGGTATTGTTATTTACGTGTGTTGGAGACCCCGGCCACTAAAACCGTTACTTACCTGCTGCCCTCCAGTGACTAAATTTCCACCTGTAAATACTGTTCTCTAGGTCACTGCATTCTTCCACTGCTAGGTCATCCACTGCTAGGTCATCCACTGCTAGGTCATCACTGCTAGGTCATCTTTTGGTTGTGGTTGGGTGTGGTTACTGCTAGGTCATCTACTGTTTGGTCATCCACTGCTAGGTCATCCACTGCTAGGTCATCCAGCTAGGTCATCCACTGCTAGGTCATCACTGCTAGGTCATCAGCTGGGTCATCTACTGTTTGGTCATCCACTGCTAGGTCATCCACTGCTAGGTCATCCACTGCTAGGTCATCCACTGCTAGGTCATCTACTGTTTGGTCATCCACTGCTAGGTCATCCACTGCTAGGTCATCCACTGCTAGGTCATCCACTGCTAGGTCATCCACTGCTAGGTCATCTACTGTTTCATCCACTGCTAGGTCATCCACTGCTAGGTCATCCACTGCTAGGTCATCCACTGCTAGGTCATCCCTGCTAGGTCATCCACTGCTAGGTCATCCGCTAGTCATCCACTGCTAGGTCATCCACTGCTTGGTCATCACTGCTAGGTCATCCACTGCTGGTCATCAGGGTTGGGTTGGGTTGCTAGGTCATCGCTAGGTCATCCTGCTAGGTCATCTACTGTTTGGTCATCTGCTGTTGTAGGTCATCCTGCTAGGTCATCTACGTTGGTCATCCACTGCTAGGTCATCCACTGCTAGGTCATCCACTGCTAGGTCATCCACTGCTAGGTCATCCACTGCTAGGTCATCTACTGTTTGGTCATCCACTGCTAGGTCATCCACTGCTAGGTCATCCCTGCTAGGTCATCCCTGCTAGGTCATCCACGCTAGGTCATCCTGTTGGTCATCCCTGCTGGTCATCCACTGCTAGGTCATCCACTGCTAGGTCATCCACTGCTAGGTCATCCACTGCTAGGGTCATCCACTGCTAGGTCATCGGCCATTACTACACCTACGACTACATATGCATTCCCTGACCTTATTTTTCGTGTTAACAAGACAAATGGATGTCTTCACGCCTATCTGTGTGTGACCCCCCACTCTCCCTCCTCCTCCCTCCTCCTCCCACTCCCTCCACCCTCCCCCACCCCTTGTGTCGCAGCCAAAAAATATCTTCACGGTCATCGATGAATTACAAAATGAACACCTGATCATCTCTTGTCTTGTTTGGGTTGTCATAATTGTTCGTCCTTTGGTGTTGTATTGTCTATATATAATCTCTCTCTCTCTCTCTCTCTCTCTCTCTCTCTCTCTCTCTCTCTCAGACCAATTAATTACATTTTATTATCAACTTCCAGCCTCAGACTTTCAATTCATCATCATCATCACCGCTTTCTACCCGTCATGTTACCCTATGTCAATCACCCTCACCTGCGGCTATAATCACCATGACTCACTATCACAAGACATACCATCGCTACCTGTGACCCAGACAGGTGATGGTGATAATTTATTTATTTTATTATTTAGGAAGATAAGATTAGGTGAAGTAATGTGTGTGTGTGGGGAGTGTGTGAGTGTGTGGGGGTGTGTGGGGGTAAAGTGGTTGTAAGGGTTGTTATAGTGCTGGTTGTGAGTTATAGTGAAGGGTTGTGAGTGATGGTGAGGAACAAACAAAAAGAGCATCAGGATCACCATGACTTGCTAGTTTTAATACTGTTATGGATGAGTTGTCGTTAACCCGTCCGCTTGGCTGCCCTTTATTTATCTTACTGAACGGCTAAAACTATATCTTGCAGCTTTTCGCCGACTTAATATCAAGGCCAGTGTGTGTGTGTGTGTGTGTGTGTGTGTGTGTGTGTACCAAACTTAGGCACCTCTGCTCATTTCACCTGATGATTAAACAGCCTAGCCTAACCTAACCTAACCCCCTCTGAGGTAACATTAGGGAATTTAGTCATGAGGTTAAAAAATATGTTAGAGGGTCGGGGACTGGTGGGGCGAATCTTCAAGGGACTAATCTTTTAACCGTGTGTAGTTAAGTAAAGCTCCTGACGTGATAATACTTCTGCAGGAGGCCGCCGCCCCTCACCCATAAACAAAGAACCTGAGGGTGAAGTCAGCGAAGCATACAACCAAAGCTAAATATAACACTTATTATTTACACACGGGAGGAAGATGACTTCTCTACACACGGAAACAATAAGTCTGAGGAACAATGTTAAGTTGTCTGGAGGCGCTGACATGATTTATACCGTGAAACAATGGAAACTGTGTACTTACTTACCGTTGTTAAATCTATGTCAGAAATAAGTGGAAAGCAAGCACACACACACACACACACACACACACACACACACACACACACACACACACACACACGTACATTTGAGGGATGGATGAATGAAATTGTAAACTGCGTCCAATAACATAAAATCTCGAAGGATTGGGATAAAAAAAGACCCAGCCCGAGAGACGTTTGGAGTGGAGGACTGTGGTCGCCAACCCTCAGATATGGGGATGGTACTCTGATTGGTTGAAGGAGTTACTACCGTGAGAGAGAGAGAAGAGGCCACCACAAGAGCTGACCTATGAAGCGCTTGTGGAGAAAGTCTGGCGATAAAGTAGATAAAAAGTTGTCTTGGTTGAATAGCACGGCCTAAGAAAGACCCCCTCCTCCTCTTTCCCCTCCCTCTCCCTCCCCCCTCTCTCCCTCCTCCCTCTCCCTCTCCCTCTACTAAATAACTACCCGGGGAAAACAAGGTATATGTCATGGTATTTTTTGTTT